ATATTGGCAAAATGTTCAAAATATCATAGAATATTCACCAAATACTCAAAAAATAGCACAGAAATGTTCAATGAATCAGAGAGCATTGATCAAATGTTCAAAATATGTGGGAAATGTTGAGAATGTCACTGTGAGGTTCAAAGCACATACCATCATCTACTGCCGCCACGTCCTGGGAGCAAGAGTGGCTTTGATGCACTCACTGTATAACTGTAAAGGCCTCTGATTCAACACTTTCTCACTAAATAAATGAAATTCCTTGAAATGTTGGACTTCTGACAGAGAGAGAGAGAGAGAGAGAGAGAGAGAGAGAGAGAGAGAGAGAGAGAGAGAGAGATGTTTTATTCATCTCCTCAAAAAATTACTTCCAGCTTATAATATGAACGATACTTTCTAATACGTTTCAAATTTTCTCACGTCGGCGAATACCAGTTCAAAACGTTTCACTTGTTAATTAGAATGAAACGTATATAATAACAGGTATCATATCGTAATTAGAATGAAATTTTATTAAAGAGTTTAATTATTACTGTTTCATCTTACAATTAGAATGAAACCGGTTTAAATGTATCAAAGGTTTTATAAAATATCAGGAAATGTTTCACGTCATAACACCAGGATTTTTTTTTTACTCCTAAAGTCTGGTGAGGAAAAGTCTTCTTGATTTTATTTCACTGGGATTTGGTTCAGTTCGATTCTGTCTGATGGAATTTTGTTCAGTGGTATTTGGTCCAATGAGATTTTATCCAGTGGCATTTTGTTCTGTATTATTTTTATTTGATGAGATTTAGACATAGTGGGATTTTATTTTATAGGGTTTAGTCCAGAGGGATTTTGTCCAGAGAGAATTGGTGAAGGCAGTCTTGTCAACAGATGGTCGGGAGAGAAGCAACAGACATAATTGGACATGACAACTGTCCTTTGTGGCCATAGTGTGTGTGTGTGTGTGTGTGTGTGTGTGTGTGTGTGTGTGTGTGTGTGTGTGTGTGTGTGTGTGTGTGTGTGTGTGTGTGCTCTCTCTCTCGTGCTCCTCTTCCTGAATATCCAGTCATCTCGCGTCTCATAAACCGGCAGCCCCCACCGACTGACCGTCAGGCCTTGGCCTTGGGGCCGGGGACTGAGATGGAGCAGAGACGGTGCTGATGAGGTATGATGGGGCTGACATGAAGCTGGGACGGGGCTGATAAAGCTTGACGGGGCTGAGACGAAGCTGGGATGGGCTGATAAGGTTTGATAGGGCTGAAGAAATTTGACGGGGCTGATGGAAATAACAAAGGGGGGGGTGACCGTCACTCGGGGTGCAGAAAGTGGTGAAGTGTTTTATGGTTGACATCATCGAGGTGTTCACACTATAGCAGCCACGAGTCTCACTTAGTCTCGTGGTCGTCTTAGTCTCGTGGTCGTCTTAGTCTCGTGGTCGTCTTCGTCTCGTGGTCGTCTTAGTCTCGTGGTCGTCTTAGTCTCGTGGTCGTCTTAGTCTCGTGGTCGTCTTCGTCTCGTGGTCGTCTTAGTCTCGTGGTCGTCTTATTCTTACTGAGTCCTTATTTATTTTACAATCTAATGAAATAAGTGATTTACAACTCTTAATACTTATTTACGCAACAAGACTCATTTACAAAACTCGTTATCCATCTACGATCTAACAAAATAATGATTTATAATACCGGATACTTATTTACATTATGAAACTCTCTTAAGGCATTACAAAATACCATGGGCATAAAAATGCCTATTTAATGCCAGGAAATGCCATGAGACGGGCATTTTACCCCGAGAAAATAATGAAGTTGAAGATAGTGTTGAGTCAGGTAATAAGAATGGCTGGCCGTTATCATACAGGTAGATTTTTCTGATATTAAATACCTACTTATGTCGTGAAAGTCTCATTGGCAGTATTAACTTTCCCGGAGTCTCATCAAGTGCTCATTTAGTACCATCATTCGTGCCTTTTACGACCAGGAAAATGTCCAGATGTTACTTGGTGTGGATTCAGAAGGACCGTATAGTAAGGTGTGTGTGTGTGTGTGTGTGTGTGTGTGTGTGTGTGTGTGTGTGTGTGTGTGTGTTCAAGAAATATATACGCCATTTGATACCTGGCGTTTAAATGCACATTAGTTATAGCGGGGGGGCAGTTACGGAGTACTGGCATTACCTACCCGGCCTTCAGTGTATTTTCACTTACCTTCTATCTATCTCTCTATCTGTCAGTCTGTCTGTATGTCTGTCTATTAACCTGTCTGTCTGTGTATCTCTCTCTCTCTCTCTCTCTCTCTCTCTCTCTCTCTCTCTCTCTCCACCACTTAATGTGCCAATAAATCTCATGTCAAATTTATTCTTGTCATGTGGAGTGATTCGTCCGATTCATTGACACTCACTCGTGAAAGAAGAGGCGGAGGAGAATATGATGGATCTGTACCTAGAGAAGTCGTCATTCACTTAAATTTATTTGTGAAAGAAGAGGCAAATGCGTTGAATGAAAATGAAAGAAAATGATTGATATGTACCCTATGTAGTTTTGATTTTTGTGAAAGAAGAGACAAAGGAGAGGAGTTAAAATGAAAGAAATTGATGGAAATGTACCCTGAGAAGTCCTGAGATTCAATGGCATTCACCTGTGAAAGAAGAGGCGAAGGATATGAATGAAAAGAAAAAACTACGATGATTTGTTCTTGATTTACTGTTATTTACTTGTGAAAGAAGAAAGAAATTAAGGAAATGAATACAAATGAAAGAATACAATGGGAGTATTCACTTATTTCTTCTGATTCACTTAAATTTATTGTGAAAGAAGACACGAAACATATGAATGAAAATGAAGAAAATATGATAGAAATTTTCAATATACTCAACGGGCCTGTGGTAGGGAGTGACGTCATCCCGTACAGGTGTTGTAAGCTAAGTGGAAAAAAAAATATTGTAGACGAGAAAAAATAAAATAAAAATACAACCGCAGAAAATAGTGAAATAAAATAAATAAAATATATATTGTTATTTTATCTGATTCTTGTAATTTATTTTATTTATTTTTTAGTAAATTTATATGAATTTATTTACTCATGAAAGACAAGGTTGACGGAAGACAAATTGACGGTAGACAGATTTGACGGCAGACAAAATTGACGGGAGACAAAATTGACGGTAGACAAAATTGACGGTAGACAAAATTGACGGAAGACAAATTCACCGGAAGTAGAAAGCGAGAGAACAGGTGTGTGAGGTGACCTGTTTATGATCCTCCAGGTGTGTTTTGGGTGAAGGTGGAGGCCCAGGGAGGGAGGCTGGGGAGGAAGGGAATGGTGTTAGGGTAAATGACTGCAAGTGTGGGGAGGAAAGGAGTAAACTTTGGGGAGGGTAGTTGAATGAGGTTAGGGAGAGGTGGGGGGTTATGGTAGGAGGAAGGTTGGGGGGTTATGGTGGGGAGATAAAAGAGAGAGAGAGAGAGGATGAAGTGAGAAACAGAAAATATTATATAAGGTGGAAAGAAAGAAAGAGAGAAAGAGGTAGAGCGAGGAAGGAGAGAGGGAAAAAGATGTCGGCACTGAGATTATTAGCCAGATGGATTGATGGATAAATATTTAGTGAGAGGCAGTGGTGGTATTCGAACGTGGTGTGAATCTCTCTCTCTCTCTCTCTCTCCTCTCCTCTTCTCTCCTCTCCTCTCCTCTCCTCTCCTCTCCTCGCCTCTCCTCTCTGGGCGTTACACCTGGCCAGAGAGTTTGAAGACCATTGCTCTGGTAGTAAGAGGTAAATCTATCCGGAAAGTTTAAATATTATCAGAGTTTAAAATTGTATTAGTTGGATATGAACCTGTACTGAAGCTTCAGGTAACAGACATACAGACACAGGTACACAGACATACAGACACTGCCACACAGACATACAGTTACTGCCACACAGACATACAGTTACTGCCACACAGACATACAGACACAGGCACACAGACATACAGTTACTGCCACACAGACATACAGTTACTGCCACACAGACATACAGACACAGGCACACAGACCTACAGACACTGCCACACAGACATACAGACACTGCCACACAGACATACAGACACTGCCACACAGACAACAGATAGATAGATAGATAGATAGATAGATAGATAGATAGATAGATTGATATGGGATGGCTTCAGGCAGACAAAGAGACAGACATAAATATACGGAGTGATGCAACGAAAAAGGGAAGTGACACAGAGAGAAGGAGAGCGAGGGGAAGTAAAAAAGAGACAAAGAGAGAAATGTAGAATATAGAGAAAGTGAGAGAAATACACAGAGATATACTGAGTCCAGGTGTCGTCAGCTTCCTCCGTCAGCATCGTGTGTTATCCCTCCTCCTGCTGCTGCTCCTCCACACCGTCAGGAGGGAGGTGAAGGCAGATAAACAAACCCTACATCCAGTTATGGCCTCAAAGATTATTCCAGGATTTACCATTGAACAGCTGCTTTGTGCGGCTCGACTTTCCAGCACTCGAGGCAAGAACTCCTCTCCTCGTGCTCCTTTTTCCCCTCCACTCTTCTTCCTTCTCCCAATTCTTTGCCTCCTCTCACCCCTCTTTCCTCCCCCATGCCTCTTCCTCCCCCACTTATCTTCCTCCTCCCAATTCTTTTCCTCCTCCCACTTTTTTCCTCCTCCCACTTCTCTTCCTCCTCCCACTTTTTTCCGCCTCCCACTTCTCTTCCTCCTCCCACTTTTTTCCTCCTCCCACTCCTCTTCCTCCTCCCACTCCTCTTCCTCCTCCCAGATCACCAAGAACGGCGGACCATAGAACATTGGTGTGTTCTTCCGACCGAAACGATGACTTAACAGGGGCGAGTCTTCACCTGCGTTGAATTTACATGACTCGTTCTCGAATGATCTTATTCCAGGACGGTTTTTAAATGACCCGATATCAGGAATGTTCCCCTAAGTCCGATTCCAGAAACGTTCTTAAATGACCCTGAAATACGACGGGTACCAGGGTCAATCTCAGAGACACGATTCCAAGTCCATTCTCAAGCGATCCGTTCAAGAAGTCGAATTCCAGACTCGTTCTTAAAGCCACCCTCCTCTATTCCAGAGCCGTTCTTAAAGCCACCCTCCTCTATTCCAGACTCGTTCTTAAAGCCACCCTCCTCTATTCCAGACTCGTTCTTAAAGCCACCCTCCTCTATTCCAGAACCGTTCTTAAAGCCACTCTCCTCTATTCCAGAACCGTTCTTAAAGCCACCCTCCTCTATTCCAGAACCGTTCTTAAGGCCACTCTCCTCTATTCCAGAACCGTTCTTAAAGCCACTCTCCTCTATTCCAGAACCGTTCTTAAAGCCACCCTCCTCTATTCCAGAACCGTTCTTAAAGCCACTCTCCTCTATTCCAGAACCGTTCTTAAGGCCACCTCTTCTATTCCTGTCCCGTTCTCAAACGATCCGATTCCAGAACCGCCCCCCTAGCGTCTCTCAGCTGCTGAGCTAAGTCTGCCCTGGGAAGCGCTGAGGACAATCGCAGCCCAGCAGTTCAGTGAAGGGCAAATATGACCCCGGGTATACGAATATGCAAATTTAATGTGAACTTGTAAAATAAAGCCAACGATATGTAACGTGCTGGAATTCGGAGCTGTTGCCTGCAAGTGAGTATAACTAGGAGTCTGCCGCATATATCCCCAGGGCAGGGAGTATAACTAGGAGACTGCCGCATATATTCCCAGGGCAGGGAGTATAACAGGAGACTGCCGCATATATCCCCAGGGCAGGGAGTATAACTAGGAGTCTGCCGCATATATATTCCTGCTTCCCTCCCATCTTGCAACGGATCATATCCTTCTGCGTCAAAACATAATCTTTCCTGCAATGGATTTTATTCTTCTTGCAATGGGTCTTACTCCCCTTGCAACGTGTCTTACTCCTCTTGCAACGGGTCTTACTCCCTTGCAGGTCTTACTCCCCTTCAGCAGGTCTTACTCCTCTTGCAACAGGTCTTACTCCTCTTGCAACGGTTTCTTACTCCTCTTGCATGGTTTCTTTCTCTTGCAATGGGTCTTCTCCCTTGCAATGGGTCTTACTCCTCTTGCAACGGGTCTTACTCCCCTTTGCAATGGTCTTACTCCCCTTGCAACGGGTTCTTACTCCTCTTGCAATGGGTCTTACTCCTTGCAATGGGTCCTCCCTTACCATGGGTTCTTACTCCTCTTGCAGCGGGTTTCCTCCCCTCTTACAACGGGTCTTACTCCCCTTTGCAATGGGTCTTACTCCCCTGCAACGGGTCTTCTCCTCTTGCAACGGGTTCTTACCTCCTCTTGCAATGGGTCTCACTCCCCTTGCAATGGGTCTTACTCCCTTGCGCGTGTCTTCTCCTCTTGCAACGGGTTCACTCCCTCTTGCAATGGGTCTTACTCCTTGCAATGGGTCTTCTCCCTCTTGCAACGGGTCTTACTCTCTTGCAATGGGTCTTCTCCCCTGCAATGGGTCTTACTCCCCTTGCAACGTGTCTTCTCCTCTTGCAGCTGGTTCTTACTCCTCTTGCAATGGGTCTTACTCCCCAATGGGTCTTACTCCCTTCCTTGGGTCTTACTCCTCTTGCACACAGGTCTTACTCCTCTTGCAACGGTCTTACTCCTTGCAACAGGTCTTGCTCCTCTTGCAACGGGTCTTACTCCCTCTTGCAACGGGTCTCCCCTTGCAGCAGGTCTTCCTCCTCTTACCGGGTCTTCTCCTCTTGCAACAGGTCTTACTCCTCTTGCAACAGGTCTTCTCCTCTTGCAACGGTCTTACTCCTCCCTGTGGGTCTTACTCCTCTTGCAGGGTCACTCCTCTTGCAACGGGTCTTCTCCGCTTGCAACGGGTCTTACTCCACTTGCAACAGCTCTTTGCAACAATGAATCTAAACAAGGATAATTAGTAACCAGAAATTAACACCTGTACGTGGGAGGCGATGTATTCTCCCCCCCACCCGCTCCCTCCCCTCTCCCTCCCCCCCTCCCTCTCCCTCCCTTCCCCTCCCCTCTCCCTCCCCCCTCTCCCCCTCTCCTCCTTTCCCTCCCCCTTGATCCTGTTGGTAGAGGTGCGGTGGCTGAGTGGAAATAGCGCTAACCTCCTGCCCTAAATGCTGCTGGTTTCTCGCCGGGAGCCCCAGTCCACCCAACTGTGAATATGTACCTAATATTATAGTTGAGGGAAAGTGAAGTCAGGTCGATTGTAGGGTCTGATATACTTAAGTGCTGAAGGCTGTAGGTTTTTCAGTGTCTCTCTCTCTCTCTCTCTCTCTCTCTCTCTCTCTCTCTCTCTCTCTCTCTCTCTCTCTCTCTCTCTCTCTCTCTCTCTCTCTCTCTCTCTCTTTTACCCCTCTTCTCTTTCTCCTCCTCCTTTTCCCTACCTCCTCTCTTCCCTTACCTTTCCTCACTCCCCACCACTTCTCCTCTCCCCACCTTCCTCTCCTCTCTGTACCTCTCCCTCACTCTCACCACCACCACCACCACCTTTCCCTCACCAACTCCTCTCAGTCTCATTCACCACCACTTCTCCCTCACTCTCCCTCACCACCACCTCTCCTTCCTCTCCCCCACCACCTCTCCCTCCTCCCCACCCACCACCACTCCTCCTCTCCCCACCCCTCCCTCTCTCCTCCCACCACTCCCTCCTCTCCTCCCCACCACCTCTCCCTCCCTCTCCCCACCCACCCTCCCTCCTCCTCTCCCTCACCCTCCCTCACTCCCCACACCTCTCCTCTCTCCTACCACCTCTCCCTCACTCTCTCCACACTCCCTCACTCTCCCCACCACCCCTCCCTCACTCTCCTCCCCACCCACTCCCTCCTCTCCCCCACCACCTCTCCCTCCTCTCTCCACCACCACACTCCCTCCACTCTCCTCCACCCACCACCACTCCTCCCTCTCCTCCACCCTCCTCCCTCCTCTCCTCACCACCACCTCTCCCTCCCTCTCCCCCCACCACCACCTCTCCCTCCTCTCCTCCACCCCCTCCCTCCTCTCCTCCTCCCCACCACCCACTCCTCCCTCTCCCCCACCCCCACTCCCTCACTCTCCTCCCACCCACCACCACTCCCTCACTCTCCCCACCTCTCCCTCCTCTCTCCCACCACCACTCCCTCCCTCTCCTCCACCCTCTCCCTCCTCTCCCCACCACCACCTCTCCTTCACTCTCCCTCCCCACCTCCCTCCTCTCCCTCCCCCCCCCCTCCCCTCCACTCTCCCCAACCTCTCCCTCACTCTCACAAGGGCCCTGTTTGCCTGGCGCGGTGTAGATACATTTGCAGAACTCAGACGCAAAACTTATATAAATTCTTTCGGCTTTAAGATGTTTAATATTTTTTCTTGCCTTCAAACAGCACACAAATTAAATCTTTTTCTCCTTGTAAAAGTATTTAAAAGTATATGTATTTTTTTCAACATTCCAAAAGCAGAATTAATTGGGTATGAATATAGTATTTTTTGTACGTTTTGAAATGAAATAATTTTTACCTTTCGAATATAGAAACTAATTTTATTGTTATTATTATTATTATTATTATTATTATTATTATTATTATTAATTATTGGTATTATTATTATATTATTATTATTATTATTATTATTGTTATTATTATTGTTATTATTATTATTATTATTATTATTATTATTATTATTATTATTATTATTATTATTATTATTATTATTCTTATTGTTATTCTTATTGTTATTCTTATTCTTATTCTTCTTATTCTTATTCTTAGCTGTGTAGGCTGTTATAGATATCAAATGTAAGAATATATACGAGTATTCCCTTAACTCTGCCATTGCTCTCTCTCTCTCTCTCTCTCTCTCTCTCTCTCTCTCTCTCTCTCTCTCCACCACATTCACTCAGCCACACTTTCTGCCCCACACTCACTATCCAACACTTTCTGCCCCATACATATTCCCCAACACTTTCTTCCCCACACTTTCTCACATTCTTCTGTCTCCCACGCTTTCTCCTTCAAACTTTCTCTTTCACAATTTGTCCTCCACCCCCTTCCCCCCAAATTATTTCCCTCTCACACTCTTTCTCCCTTCTTCTCTCTCCCTTTCCCTTACAATTTCTCTCTTTACACTTTATCCACCAATGCTTTCTTCCCATACAATATTTATTTCCTTCACTTTCTTTCCTGTTCACTTTCAACCATAATTTTATCCTAAGACATTTTCCCATTTACTTTCTCACGTACTTTCCCGTATAGTAATTTCCCGTGTGCACTTTCTTTCCCTCACAAATTTTTCCCTTGACACTTTCCCTCTCCACTCTTTTCCCCTAGATATTTTACCCCACACTTTCTCCTGTTCCCTATTTCTCCCCAACAGTGCCTTTCTTTCTTTCTTTCTTTCTTTCTTTCTTTCTTTCTTTCTTTCTTCCATCCACTGAAAGCCTTGTTCTTTTCTTTTTTTTAATGTTTTCTTATTATTTGTTTATGTTGGTAAATGCTTGGAGAGAGAGAGAGAGAGAGAGAGAGAGAGAGAGAGAGAGGCTATGCAATTTTATATATATTTACAGAGATGTAGTGTGTATGTTGTTATCTGTCTGTCTGTCTGTCTGTCTGTCTGTCTGTCTGTCTGTCTGTCTGTCTGTCTGTCCTCCAACATTATGAATCTTTACTTAATGGGGTCATAAATCACAGGGGGTCATAAGTTATTTAACGTAATTTAAGGTGTTTAGGTGAGGTTAGGTTAGGTTAGTATGCAGCGAGAGATTCCCCCTTTTTCATGTTGTAGATGTAGTTCCAGTTTATTAAAGATCCTGTTTGAGTACAGCTGACTGGCCGACTGAAACCTGACCTCAACACCTGCTGCTTTGTGTGATGGTATATAGCGAGTTATCCAGTGTCATTCATAGCGAGTTATCCAATGTCATTCATGGCGAGTTATCCAGTGTCATTCATAGCGAGTTATCCAGTGTCATTCATGGCGAGTTATCCAATGTCATTCATAGCGAGGTTATCCAGTGTCATTCATAGCGAGTTATCCAATGTCATTCATGGCGAGTTATCCAGTGTCATTCATAGCGAGTTATCCAGTGTCATTCATGGCGAGTTATCCAATGTCATTCATAGCGAGTTATCCAATGTCATTCATAGCGAGTTATTCAGTAGGTCTTAGATGGTGTGTTTACCTGTTGTACTCGGGGTCAGGTGTGAGTTAGGAGGGAGCTCTCATGTTTGTGATGGAATAGAGTGTCAGAAATGTCTATTTTGTGATGAATTAAGAGTAACTCCTTGAGGTAATCACTTAGCGTTGTTGGGGGTCGAAGGATTTGGTCAATACCTTCAGGAAACAGTTTTAATTCCTTGTGGGAGTTTCTCATTGAATATTTATCAGGGCAGCGGATCCAACAGATGACTCAGGAG